TTTGCACAGATTGACACGATATCTATATCCAACAGATCAGCAACTTAGAACATTAGCTGGTGTTCCAAAAGAGAAACCGAAGAGAGGAAAGTACAATGAGAATGGCAAAATAGGAGATGTTTTTCATATTCCTAGAAATCTAGATATTAAACTTGAAAGTGCAAAAATAACTACCATTGATATAGTGCACTTGAAATATTATTTGGAATATCAGTGGTTACTGGACTTCTCTGTATATGCTATCATCGTTTATGTACTGACAGAGGTTAGTAGTTTTTAACTGTCATCAATTTATATAAATAATTGTTTTGTTTAATAAAACATCTTTATAATTATATTTTAATTAATATTAATATGTTGTATGACTGATTGTATTTTGTAAGATTTTAAACTCTTCGTTAGGCATATAATTATTTGTATCCAATCAAAGATGAGATTAATCTCAGTGTATTATGGTGTATGGTGGTTTTGGGATTTGCATTGTATCCTTTGAATTAAAATTTCCAATGGGAAATTTATAAAATTTTTTATAAAATAATTGAAAATTATATTACATTGATTTTATTTTCCTTATATAATTTATAGTAAAGTACTACTTTCTCTTTGGCTACAATATTTTAAAGGAGAAGAAAGTATAGGTGAGAGATCTACATGCATTGTTACTGGATTTGTATACCTTTTAATAGCTATGATGATACTCATAGTTGATGAAAATAAATTGGAAATTGGATTGGAGAAAGCATACATAAGCTTTAATCATAGTGCTTCACAATTTTTAGATACTCAAGGACTTTCTTCGACGTAAGTCGACTATTTTTTCTCATTTTTAAGCTTATCTGAATATTTTTCTCTTAAATTTATTTATATATTTTATTATGCATATAACATACTCTTAATAAAAAAATATTTATAGTAAATCTTTCTCATTAGCTAAAAATATGTTTTTAGCTAAGAATAAAATAGCCAAAAATTAGCCAAAAATTACATTAGCCAAAAATATATTTTTAGCTAAGAATAAAAATATTATGAGAGATATTGAGAATAAAAATATTATCAATTTTTTCATTAATTTATTTAATGTCAGGATTAGATACAAAAAATAACTATTTGTATGTTTATATATTTGAATTATATATATTTCTAATATTTTTCTAATAAATGTATTTAATATAGGGGACCAGCCTCAAAAATCGTCTTAAAATTTTTTCTTGCTATATGGTGTGGTTTACTAGGATCTTTATTTACTTTCCCAGGACTGAGAGTATCAAAAATGCATTGGGATACATTAAGGTATAATAAATCTCATTAACTATATTTAATTGTAATAAACTGAATATATGAATACTGAATATATATGATTATATAGTATGGACAAAAAATTGTAGGTATTATAAAGATCACAAGTTATTATTATTAATAGCAAATATTAGCTATGTTTCACCGCTTTTGTTGGTCAGCTTATGGATTACACCCATAAGTAAAGATTATTTAACTGTTCGAATATTTAGTGGTATGACATCTCCTCTGTAAGTTTTTTCTCCCAAAATATAAGAAATGAATATCTATATAAATTAAAAAAAAAGATGAGATATTTCTGTTACAGAATGACAGTAGAAAGATTTGAAAGTTTAAGATTGATTATTATTATTGCTGCTGGTTTATTAAAAATAGTACTCATGCCAATATATTTACAATCATACTTAAATCTCGCCATTCAAAGAATAGAAATCCAAAAGAAAGAAGCTGGTAGAATAACTAACATTGATTTACAAAAGAAGGTTTGTGTTATAACTTGAGTATATGTGCGTGTATATGTGCGTGTGTGTACGCATGCGTGTGCAGTAAGGTAAATTATACCGATACAAAAATCCTCTGCCATTTTATAATTTTTTTAGTTCAGAGATATTAATTTATAAAGATTTATGAGTATGGAATATATAAAGATGAATGAGTATGTGTTTGTGATGGCTTCAAGAAGTTCATTAATGTCATATGCATTGTTAAATGTGCTATGACCATTTTGGATAGAATAATTTATTTATTTATAGATAAAGCATTCATTTATAATATCATTTTTAAATATCTACTGCGCTCTTGTGCATGTGTGCGCGCACGTATACACACATTTACTTAACTAAACATCTTAATTAAAAATTTTGTATATTATAAATATGTAATAAAGCAAAGGAAAATGTTTAGATCACTTTTGGACCAATATCTAAATTAATCATTAGAATATATTTGTAGAGTCTCAAAATAGAAACAAATAATTATTTGTCTACTAAATTCAGAGAAAGTTATAAAAAACCGAATTTATTATAAATTGCTAAAATAGTCGTTTGAATGTTTTTAAAACACTATATTCTTTAAAATAAAATCAATATTTATATGTTGAAAGTAATGAAATAATAAAGGAATAATGAACGTAAAAAATATATTCTTGTAATTTATATAATATATAGAACATCTCATCGTAAGTAATAATTCTCTGCTGTATGCAATGTATGCATGAAGGGTGCGCGAGAGTGCACGCATACATATTAGAAAGAGTTTAGAGTCATGAAATACTATAGAAATGACAAATTGGGTTATTTCTGTCATGATACACACAGACATGCAGATACACATAATATATTTGAATATACATATGCATAGAAGATTTGGTGTTATTAAATAATTAAATAATTATGGAACATTTAATATATTATGTAAACTGAAAATTATATTGTCCATATTTACTATTCTCTTTTTAATAC